TATATAATAATATATAATTCTGTGCTTGGTTATTCCTCAGTGTTCATGTATGAAGTCAGATGGTCTGGCTTTTTGCTGGGCAGGTGAAAAGATGAAAGGTTCCTTGATTGTTTGCTTTCGTTGTTGTGGTTTGGTTTTTTTCTTTAATAGTGCTCATGTAGTGAATTAAAAGGAAAATAAGAGAAAGAACAGCTCTTATATTGTTTAATCACCTATTAGTCACTGCTGCATACCTGCCTTGTGTAAACTCCTCTGGTTTCCCTCCACAGGACTAGTGAGTAACGTGGTTTTCACCAGTCATGCCACAGAGCAGAAGCATCCGCTCCTCGTGCAGCTGCAGAGCCTCATCCGAGCGGCAAATCCTGCTGTGTCCTTCATCTTGGCAGAAAATGGAGTTGTGACTCGGTAACGTTGATCGCTGTCCAGAACTTGTCACGTCTGGGGACGCGTGCACTTAGCAACTCGTAGTCCCATATTTTACTCTGGTAACTTATACAGAGGAGATGCAGATTTTTCTTCATTGCTTCTCGTGCAAAAAGCATCTTCCCTTTATAGCTTTATAAATACAAGGATTAGGCAATGTATGTTTTTGTTCGCAGAGTGTGACTTATCTTACTGTTGCACTAAGGGAAAAATACTCTTTAATTTTGCTGTGACTAACGTGGTCTGTTTAATGTAAGTAGCATACAGATGTTGGCTGTTTTAGTGAACTTATGAAATTAAAAACCTTCATCTTTATCTCTTTATAGGAATGAGGATATCGAATTAATCCTCTCCGAAAGCAGTTTCTCAAATCCTCAGATGATGAGAGCTCGGTATTTAATGTATCCTGGCTGGCAAGTATCTAGACTGAGAAATATTAAAACTATTTTTCTAATTAACTTGCAAGATTAAAAAGTCTCACTAACTTAATTTATATCTATATTTTTTTTTTCCAAGACAGGCAATAGCTTTGTAAATCATTTTTCAAAGAGAGCTGATGAGTATTTTTTATTACATACATTATTTTATGGGGAAAAACATGCTTTCTGGACACCATTGAAATCAATGACAAGATCGCTGCTGTAATTGAATAGAGAGAAAATAAAAAGCCTCTGGGAATGAGCCGGGAAGGCTTGGGATGGATGAGGTCCATAATGACCAGAGTAATTTCATTCTGACAGCTATTCAGCCTTACTGGAATGAACTCGCTATGTCAGCCTAGCTATTAGCAGAATAATTATTCATAAACCCCAGCAACATTATTGACAGCCTTGGCAGAGGCGAAGGCCGCGATAATTCGAGGTACCAACCTTTCAAGTTAATACTGAAGAATATTTGTCATGGTCCAGGGCTCTTCACACATCTTGTTGCGGTTATCTCCGCTGCACCTATTTGGCAGAAAATATAAACCTGTCAACCACTGTACGTCCTGGCTGACTGGTGGCTGGTTAGGTTTATAGGGCTGGAAGCGTGGCTTGTTTACAATATCTTGCTATTTTATTCATCATTTTGGCTCTCAATTGGACGTGAGTAAAGCTCCTAAAGTAAACCGGCACAAAGCTTGGGATGTCAGAGCTACTTCTGGGTTGAGTGGAGGCAAAGGGAGAGAGAAAAAGCAGGAAAATCCAAGTATTTAAAGCTTTTGGACAGCTGTTCATCTATTTGGTGATAGTATGCAAGAATAGTATGTAGATAGTACGTAAGAAAATTAAAATGCAGCAGGAAAAGCTTGGAATATTGTGTCCAGTGCTGGGCCCTCAGCTCCAGAACAACAGGAACTGCTTGAAAGAGTCCAGCAGGGCCACAGAGATGCTGGAGGGAGTGGAGCATCTCCTGCTGAGGAGCGGCTGAGGGAGCTGGGGCTCTTCAGCTTGGAGCAGAGGAGCCTGAGGGGTGCCCTCATTCCTGGGGATCCATTTGGAAAGGGCAGTGTCAGGAGGAAGGAGCCAGGCTCTGCTCTGGGATGTCCAATGCCAGCACAAGGGGCAATGGTCCCAAGCTGGAGCACAGGAGGTTCAAGCTGCAGATGAGGCCAAAGTTTGTGAGTGTGAGGGTTCTGGAGCATGGCCCAGGCTGCCCAGAGAGGTTGTGGAGTCTCCTTGTGTGGAGACACCCAAAGCCCTGGCCGTGTTCCTGTGTGACTGCTGTGGTGATCCTGCTGTGGCAGGGGTTGGGCTGGGGGAGCTTTCCAGGTCCCTTCCAACTCCTCACATTCTGGGATTCTGTGAAAAGGAGTCCTGAGCACTCTGAACAGCCCAATACCATTAATATCACATTCTCATGGATGTTTTAGAGAAGACAGCTTAGTATTTTTGTTCCTATACGTAAGTCTTACCTGTGGTGAAATAACAGATCTTCCTTTTAAGAGATCTGGTAGATGAAAAGCACAAGTTTGTGTGTTTCCTGTGTGCTGAAGCTGTGTGTTTGTTTTTCTCTTCAGGTATGAAGGTAAATACAGAGCTGGGTCTGTCTTCCCTCCAATGGTTCAGATCTGTGTGTGGTTTAATCGCCCTCTAGAAAAAACACGATTTGTGACCAAATGCAAAGGTACAAGCGAACTTTGACTGACTTGATTGAAATCCAAGCTTGAAATGCTGAGGAGCAGAGGGGAAGGAAGGCACTGACGTGGCTCTGTTACTTAATTACTGCTGAAGCAAACTTGTAATTGAAAATTCAGCTTTCCTTCCGTAAAGTACAGTAAATTGTTGTCTTCAGTGTCTGCCCTGGAAAACTGGCCCATGGCTTTGTTCAGATGAGAAATCTAATTTCGTTTTTGGTTTCTGGAGGCTGTGACACTTACCTTTATACGTCTGCTTTTTATTTTATGCTTAGTTTTATTTAGTAAGTGTTGAAATAGAGTTTATGAGCGAGCATCAGCTTCTGCTTTTTATGCCAAATAATTCTTCGTAGCTACTAGAAAATAGGCTCGGCTCTGTGTTAGGCTGCTAGAGTAGATATATAATCATGCCTTTCCTTCTTTCCTTAGCAAAACAGTGTTAAGGAGCACCACTTTACTTTCCACACACGCTGTAAGCCTTCGTTATGCCAGACACATTTTAGTTCCCACCTACCCCCTAGCAAAGCAATGAGAAAACAGAGAAATATGATGTAGTGGGGCTCGGGGGGACACTACAGCTTTTCCCCCTGAAGCATTAGGATGTGGGTTAGAGACCCGTAGCCTAGGTCTGAGCAGAAGCAGCCACACCAAGGATAAGGATGCTAAATGAGACAATCTGTTTGTCTTCTTTTTCAAACAGCCATTAAGTCGTTGCTCAAGCCGAGTCCTTTTTCTGGAAACATTTATCACATCATGGGCAAAGTTAAGTTTTCAGGTAAGGGCAAATTACTACTTGAGGTTGCACCGCGTGTATAGATGTGTTTGACAACTTCACGTGCTGTATTCTGTCTGCACCAACGTGTTGACGTTAAATTAGATCAGCAGTTATCAAGACGCTGCTTCTTTCTGTCTTCCCCTTGCTAGATTCTGATAAAGTGATCGAAGTCTGTCACAACACATCATCCAATTCCCTAAGCCTTGTGCCTGTGCAGGAGGGACCAGTTCCCCCTGACGCAAGAAGCGATGGCAGAGATTGCGGCAGCCAGCAGGAGTTCTTCCTTGTGTTCCTTGGCTGCTCTCTGAAGGAAGAGGATATAAAAGACTGGCTCAGAGAAACTGCAAAACAGGTTTGTGGGCATGTTTGCTGCTGCTCAGCGCGATCTCTTTGGCATTTCTCAGCAACAAAAGGAGAAACCTGAGTGTCTTGATGAAATATTTTAATCTCCTTTTTCTCCTACTGAGATATTACTGTTCCAGGCTGTAAATGTGTGTATTGTTTTAATATCTCCTACAGCGTATCCATGGATTGATCTGCTCTTGAACGCTTGAGCAAGTGGAGTAGGTCCAGAATAAACACAAGATGATTTAGCTGAGACACGATCGCCAAAAGCTAAAGTGTAGTATGAAATAAATTCTTCGTGAAGTACCTGAACGCTGCAAAGCTGAAAACTCGTTTTGATTCACTCAATTAAACCTCCTTGGACGTAATCCACTGAAATGGAGGCTATTTCTTAATTTATTTTGTCTTGCTTAATTTGTCAAGTGCACAGCTATGTAGAGCTCCATGTATTTCTGCATGGCTAACATACCTATGCAAAGGGAGCTGGAGTAGGGAACAGGGAATGTGCTCATTGTACGAAGCCTGAATGGCACGTTTTGCAGTTGTGGTGTCTTGCTGACTTGGACAAGTTAGTTGTCTTGGAGAAGATGGTTTGCTGCTACGTAACCAACTAATACCAGCAGGTATTGCTTTTGCCAGGGTGCACACCAAGGTCATAGGAAGCGAGTCTTGAGGTTTGTTTCAGAAATACACTTAGACAGAAACTGTTCAACCATACAAATCACATATTTTAGCTCTCTAGCTGGAACTTGAGCCTATAGCTCCAACTGTGCTCTGTCATGATGCTCATTTTGGAACATTTGGTTCCTTCCTTTAATGGAAGAGGGGAGATTCAGACTGGATATGAGGAAGAAATTCCTCCCTGTGAGGTGGTGAGGCCCTGGCCCAGGTTGCCCAGAGAAGCTGTGGGTGCCCCCTCCCTGGCAGTGCCCAAGGCCAGGTTGGCCGGGGCTTGGAGCAGCCTGGGCTGGTGGAGGTGTCCCTGCCCATGGGGGTTGGACTGGGGGGGCTGTGAGGTCCCTTCAACCCAAACCATGCTGTGATTTCCATGATTCTGTGGTTACATCGCCGTGCTTAGGGACATGGTCTAGTGGCAGACTTAGGGCTGGTTCAGTGGTTGGACTCAATGATCTCAAACATCTTTTCCAACCGAAACCATTCTATGATTCTTTATGGCTTCGGATTTGTGTAGTATCTCTAAATAGGAAGGGGAAAACATTTCCTGCAGGCCATTGTTGGAGCTGTTTCTGAGGATCTTCAGATTCTCCCCCCTCTTCTTCTAGCAGGTTGTGTTACATCAGTGAAGTACACATTTTCTGTGCTGGTACCTCATGCTTTGTACAGATCACAAGGATAATATGTGGAGACAAATGCTTTTGACATGTAATATTGTTTATATAATATTTCATTTAATATTTTATTTGATAGTTCTGAGAGTTACTGCATGCTGCATAGAAGAAATTAATTATAGACGTTTTCAGACTACAAACCAGGTTATTTTTCTGTTCCTGTGCCAATTTTCTTCATTTTTTTTCCTGTAGAGCTGCATTTAAATGGTCTTTTTTAAAAGACTTAGAAATTGTAATTTATACCAGTGCTTTAATTACAATCACTTAATTTTGCCTTCTGTTTTCAGAACATAGTTCCAAGTGCCTTAATGTAATTAAACAATTCTGTCTAGAAATGAATTTTTAAAATACATGCTTCTTAAAGGAGTGTTTTTGGGCTGGGCTTGTGCTAGCATGTGATGATAGATTTTTAAAGAAACATTTTTTTAAAGAAACAAACCACAGATCAGAAGTTTTCTCGGTTTGTTTTGGTTTTTCAAATGTAATTAAGCTGTAATATCACATTGTCACTCAGTAGGTACATAACTGGGTTCTAATTCTTCATACAGAAGCCTCAGAGGAAAGCTCTGAAAACCAGAGGAATGCTAACCCTTCAGGAAATAAAGAACATTCACGTAAGTAGAAGCAATTAATAGCAAGTCCTTCTTTTGGCTGATTTCCTTAAATACCCATTTGTATGATGAAGCACCTCCCATTCCTGCCATAAGTGTGCTGAGCACTAAATTATTGCAGCATTTACTGTCTTCATATGTACTTGATAGATCACTGAGGCTGTTCAGGAGGGATTTGAGAGATAAATCTTGGTGTTAGCTCTGAAAAATAGACTTAGCTTCAGGTTGTCAGTGCTATCTCTGGAGCTGGCTTCCTAACTGTACCCAATTCCTCTGGTCTGTATGGATGTCATTTGTAATATTGTCTCCCTGGCTGCTAACTACAGTAAAGAGAACTTTTCTTTCATCTATTTAAGTTCATCAGGACTGTCTCTAAGCAGTTTTGAGCTTTTAAATGTTTAATATACTGTATATTCTTTCTTAACGTAGGTGAAACGCCACTTGGATCCTCTTCCAGCTGGTTATTTCTACAACGGGACTCAATTTGTGAACTTCTTTGGTGACAAAATGGATTACCATCCATGTATCCTTTAAAATGTGGGGGTTTTTGGTGAAGGTTTTAGGCAGGCAACGTGCTATGTGCAAATCTGAAATGTGGGCTGTCCAAGCAGATGATATGATGAGGGCCAGGTCCTGCACTTGGAATAACCCCATGCAGCACTACAGGCTTGGG